ACTCTTTCCACTCATGTCGTGCTTTTGACATGCAACTTCAGGCCATATTAATGATTTAGTAAGTGCCCGGCTAATATGATTAATCAAGTTATCCCCTTTTTTTAGCAAAGGCAAATCATTTCATAAAAAATAGTAAAACAAATTTAGACCATAAACTATAAGATAACAAGTTGTCACAATTTACTTCTATAAGTCATAGGATTAAAGGAATGTTACATTTAAATAACCCCTTATATATTTAAAATTATATCTTAATTTTAATTATATTGTAAAACTTGTATTTTAAATAATTATGAAAACTAATTCCGATATGCGCTTTTAAAATTATAAAATATATGCATCTTAATTACCAGAACTTGTTGGTATTATTATTATTATAAAAATAAACTGTAAACACATAACAATTTTTATTCTATTTTTGTTTGGCCTATTGGCCTTTATTATAAGCATTTGTACATGTTTATATGTACGAGACAGTAACCAAATGAAAAGGTTGAAATAAGATGCCATATTAATGATATTAAAAAGATAAAAAGTGTAATAAGACGTATACAAGTAAAAGGAGTATTGTAAAAGTAAATAATAATAATAATATTCACAAACGAATGAAACACAAGTAATTTATTTAAAACCCATAATATTATAAGAATACGGAAGAGATTATGAATGAAAAATTACTTGAAATAGGGAGCATTTTCTTTTAAAAGATATAAAAAAACTACCTAAGCAGTAACGTGAGAGAGAGAAATCCTCAGCACGCGTGCAACATGGATGATCATGGGCTCATGGAGGTTCAATATATTCTCTATTTTTTTACTAAAGAAAATGGTGAATTCGTGAATTTTTAAAGTCTCCTCCTCTCTCCATGGGCTAAAGCTAGATCCACATTTTTTGCTGAAAGGTTGCTGCCCTTTCCTGCAGGTGCAGGTTGGTGGTTATGCTGTAAGAGCATGCAACTCCTCTTCTACTTACGTTCATGGGTCTTATTCTCATCCACCATGAACATGTCTTGTGTTGGTCCATTAAAAGAAATGTACTGTACGTGATTTATTGCATGGGTCTTCAATTGATGTGCAACACTCAATACATTCAAATTCTACGGATTGAGTTGAGATAGATTTATGTACTTTTTTTTTCTTTTTTTTTATTAAATTCAAATGAATCAATCCGACCAGGAATGAGTTCGATCTCAAGGTCTTACCATTTAAATTTTTTGAACTTTTTCTAAAAATAAACTAATTTTTATATTTATAAATAATATTTCTCCTTTCAAACTGCCTAGTCGCTTGTCGTGCACCCAAATTTCATGGGGGTGATGCTTATTACATCCATTTCAGCTTATAGCAGATCAATATCTTCCTTTTACTAATGAACTATTCGATATGAGTGAGTAGCTTTAAAGGCTAGCTGACTCAAATTTACACATTCTTGGGCCACTAGCTTTTGCATCAACTGAATGTGTGTTTCTTACGGTCATAGCGTATCCTGCCTCAAGAAATTGCACTATGCACTTGTTAATCATATTCGTTAATCCTCTTAATAAAGTCAACTACAAGCTCGTCAACTTGCAGCTTGAGATTCATTATATTAGCTATTGTAATCCCTGGCTGTGGCATGTAGAAACAATCATGGAAACACCTTTCCATATATTCCCAATTTTGAACAAGTATGGTGTCAGGGAAGAATACCCAAGTAAAATTGTTCTTATTAAGGACAGAAGGAATATCTAAAGCTTATGATATTAATTATGGCTTCTTTTCCTGTGGCATCCCTACCATTGACAACTCCGTTCATGTGCAACATTTTTTTTTCTTTTTGAGAAAATGTACCCGAAAAATTTATGTGTTAAGAAATGTGTGAACTCCATTTCATTCGATAATCAACCAGGTACTTAGTATCTATCAAAACATATTTAACAAGAGTCTAATAGGAAAAAAATAATATCATCACATTAGTGATCTAGGATCTTGGAATGCTAACTTGGTATCACAAATGCTACAGGATGATACATATTTAATATATGGCTTTCTTTTTTCCACATTCTCGGGACTTCCTCGTCCCTGTGAATGATCAAAGATATCCAACCCAAAAAGGGGGAAGTCTAAATGCTGAGGTTGATTGTATACACCTGCAGTTTCGTGTTCTAACCTGTGTAAGTTCTCTATGCAATAAAATGATCGATTCTCGAGAAGTTTAGGTATAGATAGATACGTATCAAGAACCCATTATCCACTGGCATCATCAACACTGAAACTTCTATCAAATGCATAATCCACAAAACTGTAGAGAGGTAAGACTCGTTCCCCATACTTCTCAAATCCATCCAATTCTTCCTTGGCTTTTGCTCTGAGCTCTTCAGCTTTTTCTATTGCTTTCTCTACTCCATAAATCTCTGCATAACTCTTTC